TTCAAACTTGAACTCTGAGTTGATTTACCGAGAGATTAAAAACTCAGAGTTTTCGGTTTCAGAACAGCTGATCTGAGTTGGGTCAATCAACTTCGAGTAGATCAACTCAGAGTTAAGCGCGCACACCGTGACTTTAAAAAGGCATTATCAATGGAGCGCAGGCATTACGAGTGACTATGGCAATATGTTATAAAAGAGATCACCATTTCTTTCTCCAGCTGAACTTGATGTTCTCATGCAAAGTTATAGCAAATATGAGTGTATATATTTGAAAAGAAGCAACCATCAGTGAAGAGGAGACAGTTAGCGTGGGAAAACAGCTGCTCAAGATAATGCCTAATTTCACTTTTTAAGTATTTAAATATTTAAGTATAATAAAATAAGTAATGTAATTTGTGACGTTTATATTTTTTTCTAAACTTTTTTTATACATTTATTAGTTTTAAATGATTTAACAGTGCACTTGTGTCTGCCTTTTTTATTGATCAAGTGATAGAGGTTAATATAACATTTAGAAGGTAAGCAGTACTAAAAATAATTTTTAGAAAGAATAATAATCCCATTAATCTAGTTACAGTGCATGTCGAAGATGAATTTAATTTAATTATTTATTAAAAAAGGATAAGCCATTCTAGTACAGTTCTTCTGTCTGTGACAAAAATGCAGGCAATAGCTATTTTCCATCCAAATATATTACATAAATTTATGTGCAAAACTGGAATATTGCATAGAAGATGCGAATAAAATTCCATCCAACGAGTCAAAGAGAAAAAAATGGTCACTTCCTGATTAAACTGGCACCAAATATCAACAGTAAAAACAGAATTTACTGTGGTAGAAGAAGCTTCGTCAATTAATTCTTTATTTAGCCTAATTAATGTACTTGCGCCTCGATGTCAGAAGACAATGCTGAAACACAATGAACACGTGGGGGCGTCTGAAGCCATGAGACGCGGAGACTCTTGACACGCACCAGACGTTCGGAGGTAATTAATAATATACACTAATACTGAAACAGTGAAGGCATTTTAGAATGACTAACACAATATTTAAGACATGTTGCAGTGTGCTCAGCCTGCTGTTTGTCCATTCACACACATTTTCATTATCATATGATCATGATCTTTTTTTTAATGTACATACTGTAATTTGTTCAGTAAAAGTGTTTCCATCGTAGTTTATGCGCACATTTTCTATCGAATAAAAGTTTATCCTACTCAGTTATGCGCGTATTTTATACATATTTTAAAAAGTTATGTGCATCATGACGTTTCTATCAATCGTTTTTATGCACGTATCCAAAATGAGCATTAAAATAGGTGTGTGGAAACGTGAGGCTAAGGCGAGAAATGCCGCTTCATCTTTAAAAAAGGGGAGGAGACAGACAGAAACTCTGAGTTTAGAGAATAAAACCTGCTTTTGACCAGGTTAGATTCACAGAGTAAGTTACCACAGTAACTGACTCTGAGTTAAAATTACCTCTCTTTCAGAAACAGGCTTGACTTACCCTGCTTTCTCGAGTTTAACAAACCTGCCATTTTGAAACGGAAAACCCAGAGTTTCTCTCATTTCAGGGTTAAAATACTCTGAGTTTTCAGTTAACCTCCTTTCTGAAACAGGCCCCCAATCTTCTGAAACAAAGCAAACATACCAGGAATACCTCAAGAGTTACACATCCCAAGCCAGCAAACGTGAAGGGTGGTACGACTGAACGGGCCCTTACAGGTCTGAATGTTGCCCAAGGACAGAGGGAGTAATTTAAAATGAAGAAAACAAACAGAGACAAAAAGCTGTGTCACATTTGTGGAAAAAAAAATGTCTTGTTTTGCTGCCACTCTTTCAGTTCTGGGCTGCTGCACCTGAAGCTGTATCCCAGGAGACTAAAACAAAACCCATCAAGAAGAAAAAATGACTTACAGCGCCTCAGACTTTTACTGTAGTGTCCTATCCGTGTGTGGCCTAATTCTGGACTCGTCATGGTTCAGATGCCCAGCGAGTTCAGACTTGCCCTACTGTTCCTTAAAGCTAAACAAAGGTTATGATCTTTGGCATGCTAGTGCCAGATGCTCTACTCTTTTCTCATTGGAGATCACGTATAACGATGTCTTCCCAGGCACCAGCAACATTCAGATTGTCTAGTTTCCCACTTTAACAAGTTCCTTTCTTAAATCTAAAGACACCAATTCTGGAATGTCAGGGTCAGGATGACTCCTGATGGTGTCCTTTACCAGGTTTTATCAACCTGGAATCTCCTGTGTTAGCATTCACAGATCCTAGTTTGGCTGTAGTTAAAGGCCATTCACACCAAGGACAACAACTATAATAATAACAATTAAGACATTTTTTTTCTGATTATAAGCAGCGTTCAGAACACATCTACACCCGATAAAAAATAACCGATAACACTCTGACAGCAAGATGCAATTCATTTAAAAGTTAAAGCTATATAAAGTTACAGCATGCCTTCATCGAGGAGAAGCTCAGGGCTTGAGGTCCACTTATTCATTCATTCATTTTCTTGTCGGCTTAGTCCCTTTATTAATCCGGGGCCGCCACAGCGGGATAACCCGCCAACTTATCCAGCACGTTTTTACGCAGCGGATGCAATTCCAGCCGCAACCCATCTCTGGGAAACATCCACACACTCATTCACACACACACACACTCATACACTACGGACAATTTAGCCTACCCAATTCACCTGTACCGCAAGTCTTTGGATTGTGGGGGAAACTGGAGCACCCGGAGGAAACCCACGCAAACGCAAGGAGAACAAGCAAACTCCACACAGATACGCCCGAGGCTCAAACCAGCAACCCAGCGACCTTCTTGCTGTGAGGCGACAGCACTACCTACTTAGTCCACTTAAGCCTAGCTCACACTACAGGATTTTAAACATCAGCAGATCGCTGTGCTGTTCACACTACATGACTTGACTTTGTGTCTTTTGATCTCTGTGGTGTTCACACTACGCAACACTACGTGAACGATCCACAAGAGGGGGGTCACACACTATATGATCTGACAACATCTCATTCCCCATCAGCTCATTCAAGCTACCAAACCACGGCCAATGAAAATTTGAGGGAGGAGTCGTCAGAAAAAAGCTGAACACTATTGGCTGCTTGTGTGCTGATTACATCACTGACAGCTTTTCAAGCTTTAGAGAACGCATTTTAAAAAAAAATCGTCAAATCAGCTGATTTATGAGCGGATTAATCACTCATCTGCAAGGTTTGAGTGGATAGATACACAGAGAGTTTTTAATTTTTGTAATTTTATAACTCTTTGAAATAAAACTAACATATTTATAACACCCTGCCGTTTTCTAACTATCAGTGTATTTCTTTCTGACATTGTTATTTTTTTCATTACAAAACAGTAAAGAACTGAGCATTTCTGCCTTAAATTACCATATTGGTCAAAATGACTGCATGCATGTCTGATACTTTTCACTGTGACTTTAAATGTGTGTGCATTTTCTTGCCTGGCAACTTCCTGCTAACATAAACAAAACTTTCTGATGGCAAAAACATCAATTTACTTCAGATATCTTTCAAAACTGCATATTCTGTGCTGTGAAATAGCTCCTGTTTGAAAGTGAAAATGAAAGCCAAGACCTTTAAGTGTTTTAGTATCTTAACTACATATTTATAGGCTGTATTACCAAAAAAAATATTATATTTTTAGGGTAATGGTGTCATTAAATATGATGCCAGACATTCAAAGCTTAATTTTAATATCTCAATAATAGCTTTGAATGTAAATATGTTGTGACAATATGGCGTTTTATATGAGAACGGTCAAAATGAGCAGTATGGTAATTCTAATAGTTACAGAATTCTAGTTCCACTGTTAATATATCCTCCTCTCATGTCTGTACCAACGCAGAATGAAGCGAGTGCACTGATGCCCATTCTGACCAATCACAGATGTTTCTGCTGAGCTCCTGGACACACAGCCATTCAGCTCATGCTGATATGCTCTCTCATTGGCTGTAGCTCGTCACTACATCTGACCACACGTGGGGTTGAGTCGGCCGACTGCTCTGGAATATTTAGCATGCTGAATGTTGGATTTCCGTCTGCGAGGTGTCGGCGACGCGTCAGCGAGCCTCGTTGATGCGTTGCTCAGTAGTTCACACATAAAGAGCGGCGAGCGCCGAGCACCCGCAGATTTCTTCCCGATCACAGCCCGATCTGTCGGCGAGCTCGTTAACTTCCAAATCGGGCTCAAATCAGGCTTAAAATCCTCTAGTGTGAACTAGGCATTAGTAAAGATTATTTCAAAATATGAAGTATCTAGAAAACAATTGGTTATACCATGGGAGGGAATAGTTAAAATAGACAGACCATCAACATTTGTTCTGTAGACACAAATATAACTAATCCTTACATTCATAGTTATTGTCCTCAGTGTGAATAGCCCTTAAGTGTTATATTAATTGTTACATTACCAAGATAGTTAGGTAAACATGCATTCAAATTGTGATCTCGGATTTTGTTGAGACCCTCTTATTTTGTCACACTTTACATTACTATTACTGAATAATGAGTACTAATGAGTGAACAAACCCATGTCACACAGTAAGCAAGCAAATGGAAATTATGTGGATGTCAATTATGATAATTGTCACAGTCTGCGTGTTGTTGTGCAAAGACCTTGTCTTGAATAATTTTTAACATTTTCTTTTGGGCCAGTGACTTTTTCGCTAAACCAATCATCTTTCTCACAGCATACAAACTAAGAACCTCACAAAAACAAATGTTCAGCTTGACATCATACAAAATGCCAGTAGTTCACTGACTAACATCCCTCTGAACTGGTTTACACTTATATTAAGCATCATCCACTTGTGATTTGAATGATAAAAATGCATCTTAATACCATATGTACACTGTGCCCGAAGTAACTGGATGACTGGTTTTGTTTTTAAAGAGGCCCATCAACCTGGAACCTTAGGGTGTATTCACACCCGTCTTGTTTGGTTCTATTGGATAAAACTCATGTTTATTTCTCCCTTTGGTGAGGATCTTTTTGGCAGGTGTAAATACGGAAGTTTCTCTTTGGTGCCCACAAAAACAAATGGACCCAGACCCAGCCCAAGAGTCTTGAGTTGCATCCAAAATCGCCTACTACTCGAGTAGGTATTTGAATCTACTACACAACTGTTAGAAAAGTATGTTCTATATCGTATGAATGTTAGCAGTATAAATGGAATTCAGATGTACTACATTGGGCATTTGTCATTATCACATGACCTATCTATGCAAGTGTCGTATCAATCCCATTGATGATTTCTCTCACGTGGCATCATTGAATAGTGCAGCATCCATTGGATGCACACTTCAGATTCTTGCCAGAAGTAGTAGGTCATCAGAGTACTTATTGCCATTTGTTTTTCGAATACTATGAATTTGGACATATTACTCACCTCACACACTGTTTTTAATGCACAGTACTATCTAGTAGGGAAGTATGCATTTTTAAGAGGCAGCCAAAGTCTTGGTCTCAGTCCTTTACAGTTAATTTAAAATGTGAATATGTCTTGACCTTGATACGACACATATGCTGAAAGCCCTGCACATTTTGAGTTTAGGATCCCATAGTTTAAGTTGTGCACTACTGTCATGTTCTGTTGCTAAGCAACCATCTGCCTCACTTTACAATGAACCATCAATAAAAAAACTAAATCCCTATATATGGCTGTCCGAGTTAGCCTACTACTCAAGTAGGAACTACTTTTGAATTTAAATTTACCACATTACTATTTCAAAATTATGTTTTATATATGAAACATTTGCCATTTGTCATTATCAGCTACCAGCTTTAGTTGTGTTGCATCACTTCTATTCATGAATTCTCTCACATGGCATTACGGGATAGCGTAGTATCCATTGGATGTGAAGGTAATCTTATCATCTACTATTTTTCAAATACTATGAATAACTATGAAACAGACACACTACTAAGCTTGAATATTATTTTTCACATACTACATAGTAGGGAACTATATGATTTTCTACGCAGTTTATGCCTTACCTCTAGCTCTGATACAAGTTTTATTTATAGACGAAATAAAAAAGGTATTGCTGTTTTTGGCTGTTGTGTGTTTGTCCAACGCAATCTCACGGCAATGCGTACCTTTTTGGTTTAGTGGCTAATTCGTATGAATTCGTACAATCTAATTCATACAATTTACTACGATTTGCTCATCCCCCAATGAGAGTTGGGGTTAGGGGTGGGGTTGGGTGCCACGCCTCCTTTTTAAAATTGTATATTTTTTTATGATTGAACTACTTAAAATACTTAAATTTTCTCATGAGATCAGGCTGGTTTGTCAGAGAATAATAGTTTACCGTTATAACTTAAATGTATATAACACACATTTTGTTGCTCTCTGTTTGTGCACGCCTACATTTTAAATAAACAACCTGTGTGAGCAAAATACATGATATGCGAATAGTCCATCTGAACTACAGTAAGAGTCACGTCATGGCAGTGGGGTGAGTAAATGATGACCTATTTGAACTATCCTTAAATAGTTGCTTGGTACACGCTTTAACAATCGCATACTTTAAAGGGTGTTTGAAATTGGCAGTTTGATCACAACAAACTTTGGTCCAACACCTCTGTTAGAACACTGCCATCCAGAGTTCACCGAACAGTTTCAATCTGGAATATAGCTGAGGCCCACATTGGTCCACTTTCGATTGAACTTTGGAGTGGTTGGACTAAATTATGAATCCAGCAGGGGAAAGCATTTCTATCAAATAAGCACACGTGTAAGTTTTGTTAACAAATTCTGGTTCACTTGATAAAAGGGCAGTGCGAAATAGAGCTACATGAAAAAAATAAATAAATAATAAATAAATAAAATAAAAAAAAACAACAACAACATTGTGTTTGGTCTGGACCACAGCAAGTGAAGGAATGGACTTACACCCTTAGCATTTTCAGAGCAAGACATATGAAACAGTTAATCTGCTACTTAAGAAAGCAGTCAAGCATTGAAGTCTACCATTTATTCAGGTCAACAAAAGGGTGAGCACAGAATAGATGGTAGAAATTAGGTCATGTCTCATGTCTTCAGAGCAGAATATATCATGCATATGATACATTCACATCATGTTGAATCTGATGAAAGAGCCACATCTGAAGTTGTTCATGAAACTAATAAAATGTGATGTTATTTCGACAAAAAAGCCTATTGATTTAACACAGTGAATAATTGATTATAATGGACATTTTTCAAAACGGAAACTATAAAATTCCCCGCCTGATTAACAACAAGCAATTAATTGTGATTATTGGAGTTTGCATGTTCTGCCATGTTGACGTGGGTTTCTTCCAGGTGCTTGCAGGTTCCCCCACAGTCCAAAGACATGCGCTATAGGTGGATTGAATAAACTAAATTGGCCATAGAGTATGAGTGTGAATAAGGGTGTATGGATGTTTCCCAGTACTGGGTTGCAGCTGGAAGGGCATCCAATGTAGCGACCCCTGATGAATAAAGAGACTAAGCTGAAAGAAAATTAATGACTAAATGTGGTTATTGGTTTTAACGTAAAACGACATGTTGGAGCAGTAGTGTCTTTTACACTAATGCTATTGTCAGCGATTCAGAAAAGCAATAAGCCATTCATGTGTTCCATTGATTTTACCAAGCTGTTGTTAGGCATGACGCAAAAGCAGAGCAATGACTAGTAAAAGTTCAATTACTAAATGTACAACCCTCAACAGCACACACCACTACCTCAATCCCCAGACAATTTCACGCAAAACTTCTCCTGGATTGAGTTTTAGTCCTTTCTTTTTTTTAAGCAGAGGTCATCTGTCTCTTTTCTATGTTGCTGTAATATTCATTCCCCTTCGGATGGGGAACTCCAATGCTATGTGGAACCTTCCACAATATGACGAAAACCCCATATTGTGGAAGGTTCCACATAGCATTTCCGTTCCCCCCCTCGGGGAACGAGGGTTACTTTAGTAACCGTAGCGTAACCTGGCTTAGGACAGAGTCTTTAAGACAGCTTTCAGGCCCAAAATACAAGCGATTTTCTAAATGCTGACTGCTGCAGAGCAATCTGATAAGATGCAGCAGACGGAAGACAGGAGGAGAGATAGATAAGGAAATATGTCACAATGAGCCGTCTGAAGATAAACTCTAGAGCGTGAGTGCTTATGACTCTTCTGCTCGCTTTATGATATATTTATGCTAAGAATCTCTCGGGCATGTTTTGATAGCTGGGAAATTATCGCAATTCTGAAAGTGAAAGTGTATGTATGTGGGAGAGACAGAACGAGAGAGTGTGAGTAGTTACATCATATTTCAATGTGACATCTGAAACAGGAGATTTATTTCATATAGACGTGCTTAGTCAGACTGTTAAGTAAGTCTGCGTAAAGTCTGGCCCAAATGGTTGCTTATTTGAGCCAAGAATCACCCACTTACACAGGAGGAGATTGTTTGGCTGACGTGTAAAGCAACCAATCAGTTTGATTAGCTTTTACAAGTAGTCTTAAAGGGATCGTTCAACCCAAAAATGAAAATTTGATCACTGTTTACTCACTTTAAAGTGATTTCAAACCTTTATAAGTTTATTTAATCTGTTAACTACAGATATTTTGAGGAAAGCTGATGACCTGTAACCACTGGATTTCATAATAAAGATAACAAATACCATGGAAGTCAGTGGTTGGAGGTTTCCAGCTTTCTTCAAAATACTTTTTAAGTCAAACTGGTTTGGGACCAGTAAACAGTGAGTAAATTATGACAGAATTTTCAGTTTTGGGTGAACTATCTCTAACTAGCTTTGTGGTAAACTACAGTGTTTCTCAACCATGCTCCATGTCTCCTTAACCAAACACACTGAATTCAGATCATCAGACCATTAGCAGATACTGAAAGACCTGTAATGAGTGTGACATAGAAAAGAGACATCCAAAACATGCAGTGTTGGTGGTCCTCCAGGAAAGTGGTTGAGCAGCACTGCTGTAATATTTGTTTCAATCTGCAATACACTTGAGGCCCACATTGGTCCACTTTCAATTGAACCTGGAATTGTTTGAACTAAATTATGAATCCTACAGGGGCATTGAACATCTAAAATTTGAACATGATGTCTCAAGATTTGGCCATAAAAAAGACAGAATGCTCAAGCAAATAAAGTCAAACTGGTTTAGAACAAGTAAAGGGTGAGTAAATGATGACAGAATTTTCAGTTTTGGGAGAACTATCCCTAGCCTGCTTTGTGGTACACTCTTAAACAATCACATATTAGGTTCATGATTGGCAGATTTAGTTTGATCGCAACAAACCTTTGTCTGATTGCTCTGATAGAATACTGTAATACAGTGTTTCTCAACCATGCTCCATGTCTCCTTAACCAAACACACTGAATTCAGACCATCAGCTCATTTGCAGAGACTGATAGACCTGTAATGAGTGTGACAGAGAAACGAGACATCCAAAACATGCAGTGTTGGTGGTCCTCCAGGAAAGTGGTTGAGAAGCACTGCTGTAATATTTGTTTCAATCTGCAATACACTTGAGGCCCACATTGGTCCACTTTCAATTGAACCTGGAATTGTTTGAACTAAATTATGAATCCTACAGGTACAGAAAAAATCTAAAAAAAAAAAAAAAAAAAAAAGAATATGATGTCTCAAGATTTGGTCATAAAAATAACAGAATGCTCAAGCAAATAAAGTCAAAAAGTAAAGGGTGAGTAAATGATGACAGAATTTTTAGTTTTGGGTGAACTATCCCTAACTTGCTTTGTGGTACACTCTTAAACAATCAAATATTAGGTTCATGATTGGCAGATTAGGTTTGATAACAACAAACGTTGTTCCAACTGCTCTGTTAGAATACTGTAATACAGTGTTTCTCAACCATGCTCCATGTCTCCTTAACCAAACACACTGAATTCAGACCATCAGCTCATTTGCAGAGACTGATAGACCTGTAATGAGTGTGACAGAGAAAAGAGACATCCAAAACATATTTTCTAAGTACGTGGTTGAGAAGCACTGCTGTAATATATATTTCAATCTGCAATATAGTTGAGGCCCACATTGGTCCACTTTCAGTTTAACCTGGGATTGTTTGAACTAAATTATGAACCCTAGTGAGGCATAAAAAATCTAAAAAATAAATATGATGTCTCAAGATTTGGCCATAAAAATGGCAGAATGCTCAAGCACACTTGACTTTTATTATTATAGTCATAATGTTTCCCATTAATACAGATGTTTTAAAACATCTCTCCTTGCCGGGGGTGTTGCTAGGGATTCTGATCCCAATGCACAGATCTTAGCTCTGGGCCCCCTCAGTAGAAATCATGTTTGGACAGATGGGGGAATTATCCCACTTGATCGTAATAGGATCCCAGGTCGGAAATCATGGCACTCCCCCAGTGGAAATCATGCTCCTTCCACCTTGGTAGAAATCAATGAACCACCCTCAGACATCACTGTAGGTCCTATTGTAGGAGTATTTTTCATAATTGTAATTTTTAGTTTTTTTGTGTGTGTGTAATGAAAGAATTCCTCCTTTTATAAACTTTTCATGAGTTCTCAAATGATAAGTACATCCCAGGCTTATTCTGAAAACATACCACTATATACATTTTTGGGAAGCGCCAAATGCATCCCAAGATGTATACTTTTAGCAGCTTTTGTTTTCGCGAATCTACCAGAGATCGGTGTGTATTCCACCAGTGAGACCAGTGAGTGCCATTCACACATACTGTTCTCATGTAAATCTGCCAAAGGCCGCTGTCAACTGACTGAATGACTGACTAACCAACCAACAAACTGACCCACCCACCCTTCTCCATCCCTAAACCCAACCAATAGTGTTTTCAAAAGCAAAGATTGACCCATCCACCCACTTCTCTAAACCCAACCGACAGTTTTAAAAAGGGTCCCAGAAAAAGAAAAGCCTTCTCCTGACCTTTGCAACATTATCACCCTCTTATTTACTTGTTTATTTGACTTTTTGGCTTCTGTTTTTGTCTTAACCACTTTCTGGAAATGTTCTTCAGCATGTTTTGATGCTCTTGTTATTATTATTATTTTTTGATTCTGAGAAAAGCACAATATAAATAAAATGTATTATTATTATCATTATTATTATTATTATTATTATTATAACACAATATTTCAGTGATTTAATTTTTTAAAAAATGTTGTTTTTAAGATTTAGGACATTTTAAGACCCAGTGGATACCCTGAGTATCATTTAGAACTTTCAGTTTTGTGTGAACTATCCCTTTCATATTTACCTTTAAAGTACCAATATATACCTTTAACACCTTTGAAAAGATACTGCCCTGGTGACAGCTTATATATCCTATTTTCTGTGCCCACCAATCAGATAAGAGCTAGCTGGACCATGAAAGCACTTTATATTTTTTTCACAAAATACTTCACGACAGTTTAAGCCTTAAAGTATATGGGAATCAGAAGTCTCAACTGACTTTACTTCAGCATTATGACAGACTTCCCAATGAAACGGAATATTGAATGAGATAAAATGGAGAATGAAGCTTGATTCGGCTTACATCTTTTAGCTTTACCAATCTCTGGCTCACAGCAGACTGACGGCTGGAGAAAAAAAAAATTTTCTATCCAAACTAAAACGGAACACCATATGATTGATATTACAAAGACATTTCTTTAGTGGATTAACTCGCACTAATTAACTATTCCTCACCGGACCAGTAATGCATGCTTACAAAGTAAATAGGTTTTAATTGATTTCATGCTCAGTTTAATGCAAAAATGTGCTTTCTTTCATCTTAAATGAACACTCTTATAGGAAATAGGCTCATAATACAAGTCCCCTAGAGTTTAACACATGAGTTTGACCTTTTTTTGAATCCATTCAGCTGATCTTTGGGTCTAGAGGGAGAACTTTTAGCTTAGCTTAGTTCTTTGATTATTACGCCAGAATGTTGAGTATGAGCATAGTTCCTAGACATGTCGACCTAGAAAATAGCAACTTTTAATTTATCATCGGTTAATTGCACAATTCTGGCTAAAATGAGATTTTATTTGTTCCCTTAAAATCAAGATTACAATTTTCTCACAATTCTGTAGATGTAAAATAAAGGTTAATACGAGTAGGCTATTATTATTATTATTATTATTAATTCTCAAACATGGTAAAACAACAATAATAATATTAGGCCTATATGTAGCTCCACTGTTGGTTAAAATGCTACATTTTGTGTAAACTTGGAATGATGGACTTGAATTGACTTTAAATGTGTCCTGGTTGTTAATGCACAGTAGTAAGTGATACAACTATTCATAATTCTGACGTTGAATTATTATGTTTGAGACATACTGTATGCTTGTCATTTGTCATTGACAACATTATTAGACCAATTTTCTTCACTGGTAAAATGAGACTGTTTGTATTATCAGATTCCCTCTTGCATTATATTCAACATTATATACCGTAGGCTAGGTTAGTTATACTGACCCAGTGAACATTTATTTTCATGCACAACAATTTGTACTGGCTATGAAAAAATAAAAAAATAAATAAATAAATATTAAAATTAACTGCATATTAAAATTAACTTTAATATGCAGTATGATCATGATGTGCACGTTTTCGGTTTCACTTTCACTGCCGAGCACTGTTCATGTCATGGCTGTCGTCACTTCAAAAAAAAAACAAAAAAAAAAACTGAATGTTATTGACAACTTTATTTCCTGTTATTCACAGCCTATGCAGGTAGTACACTGAGCGTCTCAGTAGTGGATATATAATTACATTAAGACAGAACTGACATTTTTGAGTGAATTATAACTTACAAATAACTTTTGTGACACTTTTAGCACCATTTGAGTGTGTCCTCGTCGCTGAGCAACGTATATAAAACAGCACAAAGACTTGTGTGACTGCCTTTCTGCTTCTCCCGAACTTAAAAATATATTTGGCTGATTCGTAGAGATGCTGGATTAAGATCTTTGGGGGGGGGTCGAATTGAGGTTGCGATTTTTTTTCGACTGATCGTGCAGCCCTATCGTCAGTCACAATAAATGATGTAACTACAGAATAGTCAAGCTTTAAATCGGAAAACTTAATTTTATTTTTTTATATGCTAATCTTATCTGATTTAATGATTTATGCTAAGCTAAGCTAAAAGTGGAGTATTCCTTTAAAGCAGACCTTTTATGCCCCTTATTACGAGATTTAAAGTTTGTCTCTGAAGTTCATGGTGTGTGAGAGTGTATTTTCAAAATCAAGTCTTAAATCAAGTCTTAAAATACCCAAAATTAAATGTCTCTTTTCATGCTTTGATCTTAATTGTGCCATTTTGGTGACTGTCGCTTTAAATTCAAATGAGATTGTGCTCTTTTAAAAAGAGGGTGGAGCTATAGATGCCTTCGTATCAGCATAGTGGTCAATTCAGAAATAAGAAAAACGTCTCATGCTAATGATGGAGAGATCATCACTAATGGGTGATCACTCTTGATGATACATACAAAGGAAAAAATGTCAATCAAAGTGTTTGTGCAGACCGATTTTAGCAAGTTTGATTATTTCAAAATAAAATGAATATATTTTTACCATTACGTGCTGGCTATATTTACACACTGATGCCACACAGTTGTGTTTGAACCCCTTATAAAAGTGTTTTTGCATAATAGGTCCCCTTTAAAATACTACTGTACATAGACACTTTTATTTCTTGAGCTGAATGCATTCAAAATATTGCTCTGTTTGTTTAAAAATCCAATTAGTCTCATATAGCAACAGCGGTTCAACCAGAATTACAAGTTTGAGATGGGTTTGTATTTATTTTTGAATCCATTTGGTGCAGAAATGACACAGACCCGATGTTCTTTGCACCATTTTTCCACTGTGCATTTCCAGAAGGCCATTTGTCTAATATTTATGCATATCAAATATTCAGCGTTTATACAATGTAACAGATTTTGGCACATTTGTAATTTAACTGCAGCTAGCACTCGTGTGTGCGTGTGCGTATTTTCACAGTAGCTCTGGACTGAAATGTTCTGCAACAGCGTGGTGATGACCTCCAGTGTAGCGCCCAGGGGACCCTTCAGAACACATTTGGTGTCCGCTCTCCACTGCTGCTGTGGCCGTCCTCTCTTATCTGTCACGCCGGAGCCCGTGTCTCTCCCCATCACTGTCTTCCCCTCCTCTCTCTCCGCACTCACACCATTCCTATTTTTTTTCTCCCATTGTTTATCTGCTTGCTTTTCAAGCAACTCCCACCATTTGAATGAAATAAATATTCCTGCTCTTTTTTTTTTCATTTTTAGCTTTGTTTGCAAAATCTATGACATGCTTTTGTCCGCTTTTATCCTGCTTATTAAGAGTGGGTGAGAGTATTTATAATTTGAATCTGCAAGGCTTCTGGTATAATTTGTTTTTGGTTATTTTAGCTGTACAAAAATAGCCTGTTATTGATGTTCTATTTATTATAGTAATTGTAAGCACTGTTATTGAGAGTGAATAATTTTACCATGAGTGCATCAGAATGACTCAGCAGTCTTTTGTGCCTCACAAAACTGATGCGAAACTGTGAAGCCAAATTAAACAACTAGCTTGGTGTCAGTTTGGGAATAAATTCAGGTGAGATTCAAGGTTTGCTTGGAGTCTGAAATATCTTGCTAAAGTGGACTTTTCAGAAAAGTGGAGAATATACCACTGATCCATGGTGATGACGGAATAGGTAGGTGTGGCACTGAAGCCCCGCCTTCTTTTCTTAGAAAGCTCCACCTACCAAGAATTGCTTTAGAGTCGATATTAAAAGTGAATTTGATGTATAATGTCATATAATGTCACGACTGCTTTATTAGGTACATCTTACTAGTACGGGGTTGGACCCACTTTTGCCTTCAGAACCAAGTGGTGCTCGCTGCAAAGCCATTTGAGGAGAGCTGAGCTCCAGCGAGGGGGAGCTTAAGCTTGAGCTCCACCTTTTTTGCACTTCTTCTACGAGTGAT